CCGGGCCCTGTGCCCAAGGCATATGTACAAGCATGCGAAAAGAAAAAAAAAAAAAAAAAGGGGCCAAATCGGCCTTAGTCCACTAACGAGGGGCTGAGCGTATCCCCTGTAGAATAACGGGCATCCAACATTAATCTCCGAGGGAAAGCCTTTTAAACTCTTTTTATTTCTTTTCTTTCCTTTTTACTAAACTCAGATTTTGAGCAGCCGAAAAAGAAAAAGAAAACAAGAAAGGGAAAAAAAAAAAAAAGATTTTGAGCAGCTTCTTTCTTTCTTTGAAAATTTCCGTCTCAATTGTTGGACATTCCGGGGAAAAAAAGGTTGGACATTGGAATCGTTTTACTCAATTAAAACAAAAAAAGCAGAAAAAAAGAAATTGTTTTAATGCCTGCCTGCCTCCTGGATTTTTCTTTCAATAATTTAGGGAGACTGGAGCTCGCTTTTTCATTCAAACAACATTCATTTTCATCAATAAGAACTGAAGCTCGCTCTCCTGACTCCTCCAGCAACGAAGAGCTCCTGCCTGCCTGCCTGCCTGAGTGCGTGCGTGTGTGCCTGCCTGACCGTATTTGTGCAGCTCGTTTCTGAAACACACACATTGTGTGTGTGTGTGTGTGTGATGATGTGTGTGCGTACGTGTGTGTGTGATGATGTGTGTGCGTACGTGTGTGTGTGTGTGTGTGATGTGTGYGTGTGTGTGTGTGTGTGTGTGTGTGTGTGTGTGTGTGTGTGTGTGTGTGTGTGTGTGTGTGTGTGTGTGTGTGTTCATGCGCGCCCAGACGCGCGCCAGTGACTGTTGACGGCACACAGGAAGAATCTGAGGAGTGCAAATGTGCACCTAGAGTGACAGTGACTGTAAAATTTAAAATGAAAGTCGTACATTGAAGAATAAGTGAGGGCACACGCACAGGCACAGGCACCCACGCACATAGGCAAGCACACAGATTTCGAAGGGAGCACTTGCCATAAGAAACAGAAAACAACTTCAGCGAGCCGAGACCGCCACTGCTTGTTTGAAAGACAAAGAATTCATAAGGTGTGTATCCTACGTTTAAGAATAAGTGACGATAACAACGCCATAACTCACGAAGAAGAAGAAGAAGAAGAAGAAGAAGAAGAAGAAGGACTTGAAGAAGAAGAAGAAGAAGAAGAAGAAGAGGAAGAAGGCGAAGAGGAAGGGCTTGAAGAAGAAGAAGGAGAAGAAGAAGAAGAAGAGTGAATTGGGAGAAGCAGGGGTCGAGCTACATTAGCACATGCGCATCGAAAGTGGAGGCATAGTCCATGAACATGTCCTAGTCTCAGCACGGGCACAGGAAGAAGAAGAAGAAGAAGAAGAAGAAGAAGAAGAAGAAGAAGAAGGAGGAGGAGGAGGAGGAGGAGGAGGAGGAGGAGGAGAAAAACAAATCCAATCATGCCCGCCCGTGCTGTCGCTTTAATAAATCCATAAATATATAATCACTGATAAGTAGCAAATGCCTGGCTGCTTTAGCGGAAAAGTACTGGAGGAGAGGAGGAGAGGAGGGTGTAAGAGAACTAGAGTCGGCAGTCGGTCAATTTTGTGCTGCTGAAGGCAATTGGCTGGCAATCCTTATGGCTCGCATTTTTTTTTATTTTTTTGTTTTGAAAAACAGCTTCCGATTGTAACGATGACGTGGACCTCTGCTGTGGGAAAAGAGGTGGCGATGGCCGTTTGCAGAGCCAGCAAGTAAATTGCGCCAAACAGGCGAGGGGGACGGAGAGAGAAGGAGGAGAAGGAGGAGGAGTAGGAGGTGGAAATTGACGAATAAATAAAACAATAAAATCGTGAGTTTAAAATTAAAAAAAAACACCATCCATCCACGAGCACACAGGCAACGAGAAATGACGCACTTACGATCCGTCGATGTTTCGGCCGGCGACGACCGGTCCTTGGCGAAAAGTCGACGTCCGATTCGGTGATAAGTCGCTTGCGTCTGACGTCTCGTCTCTCCCGCTGGACTTTCCCTTTCCCTCAGAAACCGACGCCATCGCGACCCCGACCCCGACCCTTGCCATCCCCAACCTGCCCCATTGCAGACCCCACCCTCCTCCTCCCCACGCCGTCGCCTAACGTAACTCCGACATCGGCACACCCCCCCTTGCCCACAAACGGCCATTCCGTTACTGATTCCCTTTCCTTTGCCGATTCCGTTTCCGTTTCCGCTACGAATTCCTTTTCCGTCACCGATTCCGTTACGGTCGCCGGCGATTACGTTAGGCAAGAAACGACCGACAACGGCCGTGCCGTGGTGCAACGAGTGTCCGACGAATTGCGCCCTCCTCCCGCGCTTTCCCTCGCTCTCCCGCGCAAGAGGAACCCGCCCCTCCGAGCTGCTGCGCGAGTTTCCCGCGCAGCCATCGCCACAAGCGCGATCGGCATCTCGAGCAACGAACGGCTGCCAAGCTTCGCCATGGCAAGGAGAAGCCATGGCCGAGGAGTGACACGTGGAGGACGAAGACGAAGACGGAGAAGAAGACGACCGCCATAGCCAGACATGGATGGGGTGGGTGAATGACGATGACGATGCCGATGACTGCGTGGAGAGCGCTTGAGGGATAGAACTTGTCAGGCCTTTCGCCATAGCCATCGCCGTCGCAGCCACCATCGTCGACGTGGATAGAGCTTGCATTGCTCCCCCCCGGCCGTTGATTTCGTCGTCACAATCTATTGCCAGACCTGACTGAATGAATGATTGATTGATTGGTTGGTTGATTGGTTCGTTGAATTGATTGATTGGTTGATTGGTTGATTGGTTGATTGATTGGTTGGTTGATTGATTCGTTGATGGAAAGATTGATTGGTTGGGCCTGACGCTTGCTGATCGTCCGACTTGCGCCTACTGACTGACTTCTCACAGAGAGATCCGCAAGTATGAACCGTTGGCGACGATGGGCATTATGTCCTCAAGGCGACAAATTTATCTCGAAATCCATTCTCGGAATATGCTTTGCGGGGGGGGCGGGGGCGCGGATTCCACATGGTGCTGCTGTTACAATACAGGGCATGTGCTCGAATCCCCGCTCGTCGATTTGCGTGTGTCGTCCTTGCGGCAGCGCCCGCGATAAAGCTTTCTCTATCTGGAAAAAAAAAAAAAAAAAAAAAATCTATCTCGTTCGAATATTAATGGATGCCCCGAAGTTGTTCCAATCAGGGTGACAGGAGCTATCAATGCACCGAAAAAGAAGGGGAAACAAAAAAAAAGGAGGTAAACCCGCAAGTCGAAATAGGTATACCGTCCTTCGGGATATCCGTTAAAATTGGAACGATACAGAGAAGATTAGCATGGCCCCTGCGCAAGGATGACACACATGAATCGAGAAATGGTCCAAATTCAAAAAAAAAAAAAAAAAAAAAAAAAAAAAAAAAAAAAAAAAAAAAAAAAAAAAAAAAAAAAAAAAAAAAAAAAAAAAGGTATATCTACCAACAACGTGGGTGAATGGTACCCCCATACGACTGCTGATAAAAACCGACCTGAGGTCAAATCCTGTTGAATGCAAGTGTTGATAAAAATGACCTTCAGTTTGAAAGCCTAATGCAAGGAAATGATCTCAGGGCCCAGCCATACGGCACAGGAAACGACAACGAAACGAGTGCATCTTCCCACGAAAGGTGGCAAAATACACTCGTTACTATTTATAGCAAACCGATGAACCTGGCCATTTCTGCCGGAAGATGCATTCGTTGCGTTTTTCGTTTCGTGTGCCGGTGCGGCGACTCCCTCAAAGGAGTAAGATAGCTCTGACTGAAACTGAAATTACCTGGGCCCGGTCAGTCCAAGTATATCTCAAGGCCCGCAAACCATGTGGCTCAGTGGCTCAATGCTACACCCATCAACTGATGATAAAGGCCCTCTTTTTTTTTCCTTTTTTTCTTTTTTTCTTTTTTTCCCAAACAGAACGGCTCCATTCGATTGGTGGAGAGCAGCACCTGCTGGAAATGGGGTCCAGTAAAGGCCCTCAGTTCGAATCCTTCTGGAATTAGATAAGGATGGGTACACTCATAGAAGAACTGTTGATAAAGGGCACGAGGAAAAAATTCGTCGTGACGTGGCCGAGGATTTTTGGCCGTAACGGTTGAGTCTCCCGGACGGAACGGGAGGCCCTCGTTTCGTGCCAGAGGTTTTCCCCGGAGTCGAACTGTCGTCGCGGAGTCCCGTGGGGGTCGGATCACTCCGAAACGATAAACTCAAAAAAAAGGTTTCCGCAAAAATGAACTGCCGTCATGCATCGGGACGGAAAAAGGCATCAAGGGGAGAGGGCCATGGCGGCGGAGGACAAAACTTCGGCCGTCAGAGGTTTGGGGGATAGGTGGCGGGTTCGAAGCCTTCAGGCCTCATCATCGGCCTCACAAAGTGGCCGAACCCTCGGGTCTTTGCTGCGGAGGTGGTTGGTTCGAGGCCTCAGCATCGGAATCACAGAGTCCGCGCGAAAGTTTCCGGGAGGGTAAAGCGGCGGGAGGACTCGCCGGCATCTGAATTCAAAATTGCGCAGGCAGCGCCCCCGCACTACGGGAAAGCTCGGGGAAACGTGTCGCTCCCTCGTAACCCAGGACCAGCCGTCGCCAAGAACGCGAGTCCCCCTGGCGACACCAGTGACAATCGAACTGCGGCTGCCACGCGGCGTGAGCGGCCGACCAGGGCAACACCGTCAAACCCGTATAAGGCA